TAATCCAGGCTTCAGTCGAGACGATGAATTGATAAACTTTTGTGCTCGGATTAGTTCGAGTGATAATCGTTACCGTGAACAATTCAGCTACGTTGCATCGTTCTACGTATTTAGAATGATATAATGATCCTAGAGAGTAACTACATATTTAGATGAGACGTACTAAAAACATTTTTGTCACAATTTTACAACTCGTATCCACGGCAAAAAGAAACAGGAATCAATTTTGTTACTTTTGACACTAGTGTCTCCTACGTACAAGTTCTGGTCGCCAAACACCTCTACAAAACACTTGTGAAAAATACAGACGATCGGAGATTGGAGTACTGGATTTAGCTTCGCTTTTCTTTCGTATCGAACGATCGGTCCAACAAACGAGACTTTTCTTTAATCTCGAATACAGTCAGTGCTGGAATTACGTCGTTCCCCGTCTAGTTTCCAGCCGTAAAAAACCATCGCGATTAAACGTTCCGCCCTCGCAGTTTTCAGCGACGTAACGGGCCGCATCCGTGACGTTAAAATTTAAATGCGATTGCAGTTTCGTTTAACGAAATTAAATACGAATTCCATGCCAGGCGCCGTATAATGACCGTAACGACGCGCGGGGATCAAGATTCCGCCTCCTTTCGCGTTATTTTAACTCTAACGTGATATCGTCGCGACGAAAGCGAACCATCGCCCACGTTTCCCTTTCCCGCTAAGAGGAACGCCGTAACGCAATTACTCGTAACGACAGGATACCTTCGATACATCGATACGCGTCATCTAGCCGACGCCGTTCGCGAAACGACTTCGGAAACATGCCACTATCCTGCGAAAACACGACGCTGAACGGAGGTCGTAACGGTGAATAATCGGGATCCATTGGTATAAAATATATAAATCTTTCTGTGTTTTGAGTTGTTTGATATTGGCAGAAAGTGCTTAAAAAAATCTAAGGTATGGCTATAAGTATACACACCCATAAATGTATGGTTTGCGAGTATATCATGCGGAAAGAATGGTAAACGAAAATTCGTTAAATTTTCAGATGATGTTTTTACAAGATTGTAATGGTTTCGAGTCTTCGTTGTCTCATTCACCTCCGAATTGGATTTTCGCAATCGATATCGAGAAATACCATTTGAGAATCTTGAAATACTTGAACATTAGTTCCTCCAGAAACAGGAATGGAAACACGTTAGGAATCTGGAGAATTCTGGGACACGATCGGTAGTCGCCAGCATCGTCGTCTAGCTCCTTAGGTATTCGTTTATCGAAAGAGGGTTGGTAGTTAGGGTGGAGTATCATCCTCCGTACCAACGTTATACCACAGTAGTTACGAAACATTGCGATCTATTTCCGGTTAGGTCAACGAGAAGCATCGCGAAAGACGTCCATTCCGCGTAACGGATGGTGTCGTAAAGTCAATGCCGGTGGACCAGTTCCGGTGAAAAATTGGATAACACGGAGTGCTTTACAGCGGTATTAGAAATACTATCGCGATGATTTACAGAGCAAACAACATAACTCGACCGCTCCCATGATCTCTCGAGCTAGTGGGCCCATTCGTTGTCTGTCCAATACTCGCCGTTTCTACTTATTTTGGTCCTTCATGCTTCTATCTATATAATCGTTTCAAATCAGATACAAGTTACAACTTGTGCTATTTGAATAACGAGTAATTGTATATTCGGAGATGTACCTGAATCGCTAAGTGCGCTCCAACATCGTAACCTGCGACGAAAGCCTGTTGCCCAATCGGAAACGTTTAGCTCCACTTAGGGAAAGTACCGAACAACTCGCAGCCGCCTTGCGAAGCACCGTAAAATTACTATAACTTCGCTCGTTAAAAGAATTCCAGGAGACAACTCGTAATCAGGGCTCACGATTCTCTCAGAATGTGTTTCTCATTTTCGGGACGGCAAAGGTGTCCGTAAATTTCACGGGCAGGTGTTTGAACAGGTCTCGCATAAATACCTTCGTCAGAGAATCCTACATTTCCGGGTCTGTCTCGTGACACACTTTGCATCGGGATCCTATAAACCCGGATCAAACCGGGTCCTGAAACTTCAAAGTTCGCCCCACAGAGGGTGAACTTTGCGAAAACTGAGTTAATGAGGTAGCCGTGTAAGCCCGTTGCCAAGAATCTCGTCGCGATCGATGGATTATGAGTGTTACAGGTACCCAGGCTCTCTCTGATCCGATAAGCATTCGCCTGGATCCTGCTAGTCGATGCTTGTCGAACCACGGCGCATCTGGCCTCCATCGCTGGCGATCGATCTGGAATATACTCTTTGCGGTAGAAGGTTAGACGAGATGATCTCTCCCGCTATATTGTATCCCCTTTCGGAAAGGATTAACGTTCCCTTGGAACCTTCGCTGCTCGAGAACGTCGGTTGCACTCGATTTGAACGACGTGGCCGATGATAGCACAAATAATCCAATTCACCGTTTTCGATTAATATTTTAGCTGCCGTGCGTGGTTTCAGGTTTCGATCGTATGATATTAATTTTATTTTTATCGAGAACGAGAGATTCGAATTTCCAGCATTACTAACGATCGATTTGGAGTATATTCTTTACAGTGGCATGTGAGATGAGGTGATCTCTCCTGGATATAATTTTTTCTATTGTTGAAAGCAAGCGAATTATTTAGATGCCATGTTTTAAATGCCTTTACCTAGTATTTCACCCTCTTTTGGGAAGGATTAACGTTTACTTCGATCTCCCAGTGCTCGACGGTTGTGGCTTGGACTCAATTCGAACGTCTGCGATATCAAAAACCGTCCAATTCACCGTTTTCAATTAATATTTCAGCTACCGCTCGAGGCTTCAGGTTTCAATCGTAATATTTCCATTGAAAACGAGGGCTTCGCGTTTCCAGCATCGCTGATTAAGTTGCTCGTATATTTCTGCGGTTTCGTAATTGACTTTAGAACCTACGGATAGGAACGCTTTCGGAGCAAATTTGCGAAAACTTTGAACGCGTTTCTAGGTAGCTCTCTCATTATTTAACTTACACTCCCGCCGCGTGGTATCGCGGATATCTAATTCATTCCTGATCGCGAGTGGTTCGCGCGTTCCAGTTATCGGTGACGCTAACGCAGACACGGGCTTAAATTGTCAAATAGAGACGAGATAACGCTGTCGATAGTTTCGGAAAAGAATTAGTTCCAATCCCACGGGCGATAAGAATCGATTGCAGGGTTCGAACTCTTTCGGAAACTACTTTAACAGCGTTCCTGGCTTGCATGAACGAGTCAGCGTTTCGATGATTAGGGTTTGTCTAAGGTTTTCCTCCTAAGGAACTTTTGACCCTGTTGGCAAAAGCTAAATGTGCTTCGTTAAATAAGCTTTCAGAAAGTCCAATCCAATTGTAATGGGACAAATGACTAGTCTTAGAGACACTTTTTTCAATAAAATGCAAAAATATTTTAAATTAAATTGGAATTAAATTGAATAATAAATGAAACAATTGTATATAATTAATATATAGCTTATAAGAACTGTATACAAATGTTTGAGAGTCGTGGTAGGTGTAATGTTAAACCTTGTCAAAAAGAGTCTCTTTTCACGAAATCATCCGTGCCAACTTCGCAGACCATAGTAGCAGTTCTACGTCTATTGCAAGTTTATGAGAGTACTTTTACAACGATATACATCGGTTTTCCGAACGCACTTGTGCGGGAATTACGAACGAGCCACGTAACAGTCGGGGCTTGCGCCCGTTTGCGGTTCGCGCAAGCACGTGTGTGGACTGAAATTAGCGATCCAAAACAAACTGCACTCGCACGTGACACGGTTCGGCATAGCGAAGCTCATTTTACGACCGACCTCGTCCCGAGCACGTGTACATAGCCTTCGGCGAGAGTTTCCTTCGACGTGAGACCCGGCAATAAAAAAGAGCAGCTCCAGACGGATCGCCCGTTCCATATTACCGCTTCGCGAATTACTTTTCCGATACGGAGTGAGTGAAGTTGGTAGCTCTGTTTTGACCAGCCGCTGGGAAATTGAAACGATCATTCTTGGAAAATACAAAACTGTAAGACAACGTTACCAAAAATTGTCGAACATAAGATATCTTTTTATATCTCTATCAAAATAACCCCTAAAACCTAAACATTCCACACTCCACTCGTCACAACAACAGAAAATGATCAATCTCCTGAAATGGAACAATTTTCCTCAACGCGTCAGTCCAAAGCGCGAGCTTATCGAAAGCCAAGCCTCCCATTTCTGCTCGACGCGTTTCCTCCGTTTCGCTTGTACCGTGAATCGCGCCTCGATCCTTAGAACTCGAAGCATTCAACGGCAATCGTCCCGACTTTGTAAAATTTCGAGAAAGCAGGGTAACAGTTCGAGAGACGCGTAGTTCGCCATTCTTTTCTTGGGAATTTATCGTTCACCGGGGACTTCGAATAGAGCGCGATGTTTGGTTTAACGTTCGACTACGTATTCCTATTGAAATGAGTAATTCGGGCGTCGCCTTTTACGGTCATCTTGCATTCGACTTTCGAATTCATCGGGAGCAGCGAAATTCTATTCTAGAGAATACGCTGCAACGCTCGTCGAAGCTAAGAAGCCGATTGGAAGGCGAACGCCGTCGAGCAATCAGCGCTACTGTGCTTCGCGATTCACGGATTTCGGATTTATCGAAGGCCAACGAAGAATTCAGTTGTTCACTGCACAAATCGATTGACTCCACTTTTTGAAAAATTTTAAATTTAATTGTCGAAGCACTTGGTATAGTCATAACTTTTTATATTTATAACTTTATAATTTAAAACTTTATATTTGTAACATCCTGAATTATAAAGATTAATACCATTAAACGGCAAAATTTTTTTGGCTATTGAGGAATAAATAATTTATTTCAGAGGCCATTTTGATCGCATTTCTCAACTTTTTGTGTTACGGAGTTTTAATTGATTTGTGCAACGAATGGCTCAATTCACGATTCGAATCTGTGGTTGTCAAAGGAGTATCGCTCGCGAGAGCAGTCGGTTTCGATCACACGATTGTACACATTCAATTCTCCTTACTTTATTTTATCTTACAATCACTTAGCAGATACAGAAAATTGGTACAGTTGACGATTTCCACGTTTGCTTCTTTAATACGACAATTGACGATCATGCAGCATCGATTCATCGGTAGCTCGACTTCGTTGAATCCTTATCGAATTCTAATTCGTTTGTAATCGAACCTCGCGGCACTTGCCACGCTCGTTCGCGTCCCGAGCTACGACCGAGTCAAACAAGAACCATGTTTCTTAAATGTAACGAATAAAGACTAAGTACTTCGCGGTTCTCGATCGTGATATTAGAATTTCCCTTCGATGCAGTCCGTTGGTTCGTCGTGTGCGTATATGAACGAGTCTCTGAACGAGATTATCGATGAAACTTCTACATCTAAGATAGAGCGAAAATCAATCTTTTGCAGTCGCATTTCGTTGTTGGTTCACGCTCACGTGACCCATGATCGATGCTTCGTTTCATCGTTCCATCGATCTAAAGGAACTTGCGTATGCAACTGCAACAAATTAACAATCATCTGCAAGGCGACCAACATTTAAAATCAGAGAGAATCGCGAATGAAAGTCAACTTTTTACAGTCCAATTTCGTTACTGCTCTACCGAGTCTCCAAATCTGACTGCAACGAGTCAACGATCAGCCGCGAAGCGACATTCTCGTCTGAACCCGTCGAATAAACGAGTCCTCGCCGCGATTCGAAATAATGGAAGAGGGTATCGAGGAAGCAAGGAAATAAGACAGGAACTCGAGACGTCGGTCCCGGGGGAGTCTCCTCCTCGAAGCGGATTGATCTGTCTCGTTCTCGAAGACGTAAAACGGCATCGATACCCCCTTCTACGCGAAATTTGTACTACCATCCAACAGGTGGACTCGCGCGAAAGTACAAATTAAAAATTTTAGTCCACTCCTAAGGAGAACAAAACGTTAATTCCCGAAACGGCGACGGTTTGTCTTTGGCACGGTAAACCACTTCCTTTCGGCTGGTTCCACGTTCTTTTTTCTTCTTCAAACCGTTTTAGCGCCTCGCAGAGCGATCGCGTTGTTCGCGTTCTGTGTTTGGTCACGATCGTTAATTCGCATCGCGCTCGGTTCCGAATGTACCTCGTCGAGAATCATTTCAGAGCTTCCTCTCGTAATTACTATTTTTTTTTGTTGCAAATAATCGTAAAGCACCTGCATAAATAAGCAGTTTTTATCGACGCAATCGCGTCGATCGGCATTATTCGCAGATAAATGAACGAATCGCACAGCATGGCACAATCAGACGCGGATTTTTAAAAATCCCTGGCACTAAAACGGTTAAATAGCAATCGATTCACTTGGATACGACCGCTGTCACGTTTCAGACGTCGATTCTAATCGCTATCGATGTACACGGCGCCCCACTCGAAGCCATTTCGAAGTCATCGATCCCATCCTTTTCACAGTTTTCGACAGGATCGATCTCGTGTATAGGTACGCAAGGACGGTCGTTCCCGAGGAACAGTGTGTGGAACATCCACCGCGACATCGATTCTAGTGTTCTAGGTCGCGTTAGGTTTGCACTACCGTAATTGCTGAATATTACAACACGCAACGGGAAAAGTATACCCATGTCCCCGGAAACCTGACAAAATGACATCAAATAGAAGAATTCCTTCGTCGTAGATTCAAGGTAAAGAGCACGCATGAATAACACCTTTCGAGTGGGACATCCTATACATAAAACTTAGTTTCGTTCGTTCAGATTTCTTTTCTGAGTCGAGAATCGTAAGAAAATAAGACTCGTCGCAGATTACGAAGCAGAGCCACTGGATTGGTGCGCATCCTTAGAATCCATCCGTCTTAACCTGCTCTAAACCAGTCCCGTTCGCCAAGGTGCACTCGTCAACACTGAAACGTCATCAATTACCTCGGCTGTTATCCAGGGTTAGGTAAGCGAAGAGGCTTCCGCTCTCGAGCCATTCACGGCAAAGAGTAATGGCGAAGCGTGTGCCGCGGTTGCCGCGAGTCAGAGAGCACTCCGATTTCAATTCGCGCATTTCTATAAAGAGTAATTCGGTGTTTCTGAATAGTTTTCGCGGGATAAGACGCGTGTTTTCGCGAAGGAATCGTCGCGTTCGCGGCCGGCATAGTCCAGAGGGCATGTGAGATCGATGCAAGAGGAGATCGATCGGAACACGTTGACATTCGTTGAAAAATTCGATGGACATGATTATCGAGTAGCCCTCGAACGATCTTCCAGGGATCCCCATGCTCCGCTAGTCACAAATTTCCCTTTAGGATGGTGAATAATCGCTTTAAGGTATGGCGCCGCCACAAAAACTAGCTACCAGTAGTTATTGAGGCAAAATTTCGAAACTTTCTACTTTTACGTAGTTTCGAACGCAGAATTGCTATGGTTTAAACAAAAAAATGTTCAAACAATCTTTTTGCATCTTTGAATAAAATTTATTTGAAGAAAAAGTAGTATCGAAAAATTCAAAAAAATTGTTCAAACATTTTTTTTGTTTAGATCATTGAATTCTGCGTTCAAAGCTACGTAAAAGTACAAAGTTTCAAAATTTTGTCTCGATAACTACTGGTAGCTAGTTTTTACGGCGACGCCCTCCTTTAAGAGATGTCGTTCCTCCTTCGTCTGGTCTCGGTGAATCCCGAGCTCGATGGTGACGAAGAGAAAGGCAGATTATCTCGCAATCCAAGAGGAACCGAGAGGCCACCCCTCAGCCCACTGGATCGTCAGGTATTCTCGGTGCGTTTACACCTGCGTGAGCAGTGTCAGCTGCGCTCCGTTCTTCAACGAGTCCCTGTCCCTCTGCGCGGAATCTTTCGCGTCGTTGCCTATGGTGATGTTCGACCGTGACGTCATGGTCACTGTCGTCGTGGACGTCTTACTGATCAGCAGACCTCTTTCCGCGTCCTCGTCTTCCAGTTCCAGCCTGGACTGTCCGCAGGGGACCAGTCGATTCGACTGAAGTTTTTCGGCGTTCGCCTTGTTCCTCCGCGGGAACACGCTGTTCTCGATGTGCAGCGTCGCGTTCACGTCCTTTCCGGCGGCGCAGGTGCACGCTTTCAAGAAGCTCTTCTTGAAGTTGTCGCTGAGGAACGCGTAGAGAATGGGGTTCATGGCGCTGTTGCTGTAGCTGAGGAACCCTGCCAGCAGGAAGCTGGTGATGGTGATCTTGCTTTGGCATTGCTTCGGCGGCGTGTAGATGAGAGCTACCTGGGTCAGCCAATAGGGCAGCCAACAAAGAACGTACACGGTGATCACCGTGAGGACCAGTTTGGTCACCTTGCGATGAGTGCGTTTCTTCTCCTTGGACTTGTTCTTCGGGCCGACCGTCTGCAGCTTCCTGATCACCAGGAAGTAGAAGATCAGAATGAGGACCAGCGGAATAGCGAAGCCTAGAATGAAGGTGTAAAGGGTGAAAGTGGTGTGCCCGCCGCGATCGGTGGGCCAATAGATGTTGCAGTTGCAGATGCCTTGGTCGGTCTCCATCGCGTTAGCGTACAGGAATATCGGGATCATGAAGAGGACGCTGGTGACCCAGGCGGTCAGCGAGACTATCTTCGAGATAAACGGGGTGCGCAGTTTCGAGGAAGATATCGGATGGCAAACGGCTATGTAGCGATCCGCGCTCATGATGAACAGAAAGATGCTGCTTGTGAATTGATTGATGCTCGTCGTGGTCATGTAGGCTTTGCACATGATCTTGCCGAAGATCCAACTGCGCAGGCTCATCGTAGTGACTAGAAACGGTATGCCGATCAGGAAGCACTCGTCGGCGATTGCCAGATTCACGATGTACGTGTTGGTGACCGTTTGCATATTGGAGAACCGCCGCACCACATAGATCACCAAAGTGTTCCCTAGGAGGCCTACCACGCAGACGATGGAGTAGAGGATCTGATTGACCAGCGCGATGATCGGCAGGTCAGCCTCGCAGTTCTGGATAATCGAGTCGTCGGGACTCGCCTTGCGCGCGTAATCGATGACGCTCGTGGTGCTCATTATCGAGACGTTCATCTTGACCGAGTGGTACGCGCTGTCGTAAAACGGAAGGAGCGTTCGAACCGGGTGTCGTAAATCTTCTTTTTCTCGCGGCTTTGATCGCCCGACGCTCGGGAGTGTCTCGAGCCGTTGATCCTCACGGACGATCCCTGAAATCCGAGTCTCAATCACTCAACGAAGAAGGATTGCCGCGATCTTCTAATTTCTTCCTCGTCCGTAACGCTTCCTTCTTCTCCAAATTTTCTTCAGGCCGGATCGTCAGATCGAGATACGGTGCTTCGATCGCGCCGGTTAAACGCGCGTTCCTCGCGTTCCAGCGAAAAGTAGCAGGGAACCGGAAGATCTCTGAGTCGTCGACGAGCTTACGGGGGGTGGGTTCGTCATTCCGTCGGACATCAAACGATGCCTTCGTGCCTTCGCGACTGTGATAATCCGAAAAGCGTGGGTTACCAGCGCGAAATTCTCGCTTCTTTTCTCGCCAGCTCCGCCGTCGTCGGAGATGCCTGAAACAAAGGAAAAGGCGGCTTTCAGAGCTTGCAATCGGAACATCCGATAGTCGATTCGAAGACGACCGAGCTTTCAAAGAGACTCGCTTGTTACAAACGAACTTTTTACGGGGCATCGAGGGCTATTATACTCGACAGCTGCGAAGATTATATCAGTCGAACGGCTGGCATTCATTAAACGCTGACGTTAGCCTAGTTCCACGCTGTAAATCTTCGATCTAGGGTGCTCGAATAGCGTTCTCGATTGGCTTGCCGCGGAATCTCGAGATTATGGGCCCTTGAAACCCGGAAATGGTAATTTTCGCGGTCCAGCCGAAGCCAAGATTCTAATAGGGCCGGTTATACGACCAGCTTCGAGTACCTCAAGCTAGAACTTCCCGGTTTACAAAGTTTTCTATTCTCTTGTGTTACTTATCATTACACCGAGGATGCATATTTCGATATGCAGATATTACTTTGCATACCGTATACGTTTTGCATATTTTAGATAAAGGTACGTGTACTTTACATATTTCTATTACAGTAGCGATGAATCGCAACGTGTATACTGTCTCGCGTTGACGTCGATATCATGCGAGAAAAGAAGTTTGTATACATAAGCAATGTCGCTGATTCGTTCCACACGAACATAGCTGGCCCCTTAAGAGGTAACACCACTGTAAATCTTTAAAAAAATCAATTTTTTATTCACAATTAATGTATCGAAAATACCCTACGTATTTCTCTAGCAATGAACATGTAGACTAAGTGATTTTTTTATTTTTTTTCGAGATGCAAAGTTGCACCAACAAAAGGGGCTTTAGAATTTTGTTTTTTAATACATTCAATGTATCCTATGATGTATTATATACAGTCAGTCCCATAAGTACCCTGTATGTGCATTGAAGAAATTTGTCTAAATTAAATGACAGGTGCGATGCTTCCAAACAAATTTTTCATTATAAATATGTACGTGAATAAACTTTGCGCGTGTATATATTTACAATCAAACATTTATTTGAAAATATCAATCCTATCATTTGACTTGGACTTGACTTTGACTTTGACTTGGAATGTTCAATTAGTATATTTTACGTGCACGAACATCTACAGGCTACTCGTTATCGAAAAATGAAACTTTCTACCCCTAATCGCATCCGAAGCTTCCTTTCGGTGATCTTTGGAGAGAAAACTCGATACCTAGGGAAACAAACGCGATCACATCGTGAAACCGAAAATCTTGTTGACAACTCGTGGGTGTAACGTAGCGACCGAAGGGATACGCAGAGATGGAAGGGCGTAGCCGTCACGGTTGATTCCTGTTGACCCGTGAAATCCATCGGGGCGTGTCGAAAGCTGCATCGTTTCCGGCAAACCGCAAGCTTCCCGTTGCAACACGGCGCACGAGCCACAGGCGTAAGGCATTGGACAGTTTTCGCGTTGAGAAACTGGGGAACTCGGTCCCGCGGCGCCGACGTAAAACTGCAAGGATGGTCCCTGCAGCGAACACGTACCGAACGTTTACAGGATGCGCCGGAAAGAACGCAAACGGTTCCCCATAGAACAGAAGGAACTACGTGTGTCCCGCTGGTAAACACGTTGCTCGGAATACAGTACTCGGTACACCTCTGCAGGGAACACGGTGTATCCTAAATTGAGTTCCGGAATCGTAACAGGTGATCGTGTCAACCAATTTTCACGCGACAAAGAAGTTCGAAGTTGTTTCTCGATATCCTGACCTCTTCAGCCAACGTACTGGAGAATGTTCACGTGACGGTCACTTCGTTCCAATAGGTCGTTTACTATTCGTAAATTCTTGAACTCTTGAACCTAAACCCCATGTGAGTAGAAATTCACACTTGGCTACTTTTTATTTACTTTTCAGCATTATAAAACCGATCGTGGATTTTAGTATCAAATCCCCTGTTAACAAGTTGACTGCCACACTAACATTCTTTAAAATTTCTACTGTGATTAAATTTTGTTTACACCCTATCAAAACTACATAAATAAACACTTCATCGAAATTCAAGGATTTCATTCAAGCTCATTTTCTTTGGCACTTAACTTTCAGAATTAATATTTTTAGTTGTTCAGTGAAAAGCATTGTCAGTTCTACATACATCGGTGACGTGGTGATCAACGTGTTAATGAACGGCAGAGTAGAAATTTGAAATTAGTTTCTCGATTTTGAGTCTTTTTTTCTCCGCGGAAAGAATTTCCAATTTCCGTGTGCACGGAATAACGAGAGTATTAAACAATCTCCCAGCGATCGTAACTTTTCGTTTCATCCGCTTCCCGGTTATTTGATTGTGGAATCGGTTTTAAATCGTATCTATAAAATCGTTTATCGACGTCCTCCGACCAAAGTCACGTTCCTTTAGAGAGGAGGCTGTTATTGGGTTGTTTTTACCCTTTAAATCTTGAATGCAACCGCGTTTTTCTATCTTAGAACTCGTTTAAAGTAACTCCACGTAGCGACGATATTCTTTTTATTTGCCACGTTTTATTTTCCCACGCCTGGAAACTCTATCCTCGAACTTGCCACGGTTACATAAATGTCGTGGGTATCGTTTCATTTCCTGGAGGTTATTACTAGAAAGCTCGTGTTATTAGAAAAAAGGGGGGCTGGGGTCTACCTCGTTTCGTTTTTATTAAACGCGAGTCATTATCGGTATTCGACGGCCAAGATTATCATCGTTAAACGTATCCTTGCACGAAAAAAATTAGCGAAATCCCAGCGAGCAAGCTAACGCGCACCGCGCATGATCGGAGATGCGAACGGGTTCGATGCTCAGGAAATTTTCGATCGATCCATCTGTTGCTTTCCACGCTTGAACGATGAATCAAGCTAACGCGACAATTGGAAGATTTATCGATTCGCGTCTAAAGTGTTCGTGGACATGACTCGTTAGCTTTCGTCGCGATGGAGGAACGAGCCATCAACGACCAAACGAACGGTCTTCGCGTGAGAAAACTCGCGGAGCTTTGCAGGATAATGAGCGTCCATCGATCGCCATTACGGAGGTATCCGTCTCCGTGCCTGATAATTACCCGTGGAGTGATCGTCGTAACGTTTGAGCGATGGACTTTTCTACGCTTCTTTTTTTACCTCGATGATTTCATCTAATTCAGCTGTCGATATTTGTTAGGAATTTGAGAACGAGATAAATAACTTCTTCAAGGAAGAACACGCAGATGTCGCAGCAAAAATTTAGAATCTTTATACGAATTCAATTTATTTTATGGTTCCAGGATGGCTCGTTATAAAATCTCCGAGAATCTATTCCATTTTTTAATGAAGTGTTATGAATAGGAAGCATCGAAACACGATCCACCTACGACGATATTCTCCGTCACCGGGTAAATTATCTACCCGAACGCTCGTCGTGCTAGGAGGTAATATCAATTTGATGGAGGTGTACCTTACGAAATTTGGTTATGAATTATCGCGTTTCCTCTGGCTGGAATATATGAGATCGACACCTCTAGTTATCGACAAGACATTATTAGGAGATTTCCCTGTAAGATCGTGAGTTACCGCGGGCGGTGTTTGGCTGAAATCCAGGGCGCGATAGCAACACGTGGCATTGCCGTATTAAATCCAGAGTTTGAGCTGAGTTAGAGCCGAGTTCTACTAACAGTGAATCTCCGTGTTATTAACGAGCCCGGTTCTACGCTCTTCTCCGTCGCTTAGAAAGTATCCACGCCTACGAGACTACCATTACGCGTACATGGTTTTCACATTAACGCAGTAGTTCCTTTATGAGAGAGACTATGGGAGCCTCTTCGAATACACGGTTGACTGAAAACAGTGAATTAAGATATATAGCGGGTAACTCTCGACAACGAATGCCGACCAAAATGGGATGTTTAAATTAACGGCGAAACATTTGAATGCGTGTTGCAATGCACTCGGTATCTCTAAATTATTCTCCTTCCGGATTCCTGGTTGGAATGAAAAGGTGGATGGCGCGAGATCTGTAATTTTGTGTAAACGAAGCGCAACCGAGTGCCGCGGTTGCAAAAATATTAAGTGTCCTCGACCGCTGCCCTGAATCGCTTTCTTTGGGCGCTGAAAGTAATCCGAGCTCGAGAAATATAATTTCAACTAAAATTTTCAACGTGTATGTGAATTTTAATGATCACGATAATAATAGTTGTTGACAATACCCAAGAATAACGTTTTGGACGTGTTGCTAATGGACGAATCGATTGTGGAAAATTAATTATTTCCCATCGAAAATTCATCGTAAAACCAAGTAAATTACAATGTGCAACAGACTGGAACCAGTTGAATCGTGTATTCCAAATGTACCTTCTCTCGGAGCAGGTTTTACATGTGTTTGACACTCGCGATGAAAGTTACAGAGCGATATTACCGTCCCTGTTTTGTTTACAGTACGCTCCCCACGAGGCGTAGGGACAAAGAAACGTTACAGTATACCCATTTAAAGTTTCTCGTGTAATAAACTCGTTCCCGAAAGCGGTCGTCAGTTTACAATTCGCGGTGACATTAATTTAATACGTGTTCCGCGCAGCAAAGGGACGAAAACGGACGATTAAGTGCAGCTTTGCTAATAAATTCCGCTCCCTTTACAATATCCCAGCTACGTGCACGCGCGCGCACATACACGCGTGTCCTCGAAATCACACGTTTACGTTTATGTCGCGCGCATTCACATACACGTCGTCCCGATAAATTTAACAGGATACTACACGTGAGTCTGACTTATGAATGCCCGCTACTACTGCAACCGTCGCCGCTTATTGCGGTTCGAGATTGCGAATCGTCCAGCCAGCAGTTACCCTTTGAAGTGAGCTGGTATTCCGTGCATCGGAAAACGCAACGCAAGCAGGAAAGTACGAAGTGCTTCTCAAAGACGGTTCCGCAAACGTAACCATCAGTTTCCTCGACAATTGGATCGCTAAGTTCCTTTGTTGTTCGAGCCCTACTTCGCGATCGCGTTTCACACGGGTTTTTGTTTATCGGGATTCGGGAATTCGAGAGTCACTCC